AAATTGCTGTTGATCACCTTTGGGACTTAAATAGTATAATATTTATTAACAAAAATTTTCACTGATGCAAATGAGTACAAAATAAAATTTATGGGAAGGAATAAAAAGTTGATTTTTACATTGTCGTAATATCTATTTGTTCCTATCCAGACACCACACTATATTTATGTGACTTCCACCGTGAACAAGCATGGGAGCGATGGGTGTCCAAAGCAGCCAATGGTGTCAGTGACTGCAAAGAGGAGGTCCTCTCTCGCATAAAAAGAGTTGCCCATGCCAGCTCATCCACAAAGTATGAAGATGCAGTCCAGGCTTTGATGGCAAGTTCTGTCTGGGTTCAGAACCCAAAGCTGCAATGTTGGTTTCAAAAAACATGGTTGAGTCATTATAAGGTATACAAAAAAAGAAAAAATTAAAGGAATTATCAGTTCTTGATTTCTGTGGATGAGGAAAACTGACAACTGATGTTTCAATACTATACTGGGGCATGAAAGTGTTAAAAGAGGAAGACAATTTCACGCAGAAAGTTGGTCAAATGAATTCCCAAAGGTATATTACATTAAAAAATTAGCTTATTAATAATAAATGAGTAGTGCTCTGATAAAAACAAAACCAGTATTTACTCTTATGTCTCCACTGCAAAAAAAGTAACCGTTGATTATAAATATTATTAAAATGACAATGAACAGCAAGTCAGTTAAATCACTTCTATTCTATCCTTCTGTCAAAAGGAAATTCCCAAGCAAAACAATGGTTATGACTGTGGCATGTTTGTCTGCATGGTAGGTATAAGGAATATTATGACCATTTACTGCTGTCCTTGTATTGCACTTGCTTTTAGATTGTCACCAAGAAAAACAGCTTCATTGTGTAAGTATTACAAATTTCCATAACTCAATATTAATATTAGTTTCCATCACTTGGCTAACAGTTTTTTTTTCCATTGCATTTACCTACACTTGTCCATATTATAATTGTAGTTTGCAGAGCATTTGAGTCGTGGGGAGGTGCCTAAATTTGATCAGGTTAGTATTATGGGAAAAGACTCTAAAAGCATCATTGCTACAGCTTTAAACTTTTTTATTTTTAGTCAAGTTTCCCTGCTGGCCTGCTTTTATTATATTTTGCCTTCATTCCACCTCTGTCACTCTCTAAGAGGTTTCCAATAGTTTGCAAAAAAAAAAACACATTTTATGTTAAGGCAATAATTAGTAATAGTAAACCATACTAATATTGTTTGACTGCAAAAATTAGGAGAATGGTTTAACCATGGATTTCTTTGCAGTTGCAACTTTTGTTTTGTAGGTTTTTTTTTTTTTGCAAAGTAAGAGATCTTACTTGATTTGAAGTTGAAAGACATTGTGCAATATTCCATATTAGAATAAGTAAAAATATTAATTATCTTATCTAAAAATTAACAGCCAATTGACTTATATTTTCTTTTTTTCAGAGTAAAATACCACTAATGAGAAGAACACTTAAGGAGCAACTGCTGCAAACTGTTCTGTGATGGACTTAATGAGCAAACTTGTGACTCACAATAACAAATACAAAGGATAATAACATTATGAGTTTGGGGTCGATAAGCTTCATTTCTTGATACGAGCTTGTTTCAATGTAAAGGAGTACAAAGACATCGTCATTCATGGCCACTTTCCTGATTAATCGTTAAATTATGTAAACAAATTAATTTACTTCAGACTTACCTGTTACTCATGTACTCTCTTCATACGTCCTCTTGGGCCGTGTGAAGTCCGCTGGAGCAACGGAGATCACAACATTCGAAGGGACATTGCACTACAGTGATTGCATCAGAATATTATTGTCTTTGTTTTAGCGTGCTCGTTAACTTTTTCAAAGGTGTTAAAGCCCAAAGTGTACTCTATAGTACTCTGAGGCTCAATTACATAGTTAATTACTTATTTTAGAGGTCTTTAGTAGATCTCTTACATCGCCTCTCCTCTGAAGACTGTAGAAAATGCGCAGAACTTGGGTTCCAATTAAACTATGTAAATGAGGTTTGATAATTTGCATATTAATGAGCGTACTTCTGAGGCGTGTGAACCAGGGCGGATAAAGGTTGGGCGGTGAAACGAGCGCTCCGCTCTTCATTTAATGTGTGATGCGGAGTAGGACTGGCACGAGCGCTATTTCCGCGCTTCCGGTGCGCTTCAAGGCCGGCGAAATTTTCCTTTTTGCAAACCGGAAATCCTATTTTCTTTCTGTAATTTCAGGCTACAATGTTAAATAGATAAATTCGTTTCATAACAATATGAATAAACAGTTTCATATGTTGGTGTCTGTACGTCTATAGGTCAAACTTGTTGGTCGTATAATGCCAAAATTTGAGTTTAATTTGAAAGTGTTGAATACCTCCTCCTTCCACTAAATATCACCTAATCGTCTTTCGCCGTTTCGTTTGCAAAAGCTTAACACTTCTTAACCTCAATTTTTACATATGTTAAAGGGGGATAAATTTTATATAACATCACAGAAAATTAGATTGATATATATTGATATAGTGGCGTTGTACTTCTTCAAACTTTGCTTCTCGGGTGCAACGCGCCATGGCGATTCGCGCAATGCGTTGCAAATCCGGCAACCGCATGTAAACAAAATTTATTGAGGTTAGTTGTAAGGTTTTTTCTCAGTTTTTCTCTCTAAAACTAAACAAGGTAAACAGTTAAAACTGAGGGGAAACTAATTTTGAAGTTTCGAACAAACAGAAAGACGTATGAGATGTTTTTTCAAAATTAAAAAGAAGGATGATGGTGATTGAAATTAGCATAATTTCACCTTGCGCGGGCTGCACGCATTTATAAAATACACGTGATCTAGTTATGAAACACGATCTGCTGTCATTTAGTTTTGCCTTGGATGACATGGATGAGATTTTCCTTCGTGTTTTAGACAGTACTTAGTTGTTTTTGTTTTGAAATAACATCGACATTGGCGAGTAGCAGAACGAAAATATAATTCAGTGGTAGAGTCATGGAAGTAATAAAAGAAACCTTTTGAAAGAGATGTTTGTCTACTCCAACTAAACCTCCCGCAAAAAATAGCAACATTTGCTTCTCGGAGAGAGCGTACCAGCACAAAGAAACGAGGAAGAAGTGCAAGAAAATAAATCAAGCTGCCATAATTCAGTGACAGCGGCAGTATCTAATGTACAAACCACATCGCAACATCGCAAGCCCTGACCGAAGTCGAAAACAAGCGACATTTCTAAGCAGAGTCCCAGTCCACTGCACCACACCTTTTTGCTCGGACGCGCTCGTTTCACCGCCCAACCTTTATCCGCCCTGGTGTGAACGAGTGACAACCCACTAAAAACGGCTGTGTAGCAGACTAGTGACACAGTTCCCTTAAGTCAGTTTCAACGGATCACTGGGTTATTTCCTTTCACCTGATAGGCTCCTTAAGCCTTTTCGACTTTTTTTTTACCTCTAAAGACATTCTTGTATTAACTGACTATAACGTCTCCGTTTGATTACTATGGATGCCACATGTCTAAGCTGCTATATAAGCTGTTATAAAGGATGTAACGTCGGAAAATGTCTGGGAAATGAAAATTTTACCAAAAATATCTGTATTGTTGCTGGTGTCTGGAACTTTTGGATTGTAATCAAGGATACCACTTCTAAGCTGTTGAACTCAACAAAACTGATACCATGTCTCGTGTCTTTTAAAGCCATTCTCAGCTTAAGAAAAAGGAAACTCAGAACTATTGTTTAGTAAAAGCAGGCGATCCGCCAACCTTCATGGAATTAATGAGAGAAAACTCATTAAGCAGCATACGAAGGACTGGGTGCTAAATTTGCCCCCACATTCCAAGTCCACAATTACCTAGGTTAACATTAGGTAACATCGGCTGAAGCCAAATTGTTTCTTTGAGTGAAATTACATGAAGAACACCTCAAGTCCAACTTTACTGTGTAATATAAAGCAAACTAGTAAAAACCACATGTCACGGAAGATAAAACGCTTTTGCTCCAACGCTGTGCTTTGCGTAAGTTTCTCGTGATAGATGGTCGAAACACGCGTGATCAGATTACGAGTGATAGAAGGTCCAAACGCGCCTGATCAAACTGCGTTATGTGCATTCCATTCATTCTTAGTGGAAGTTCAAAAGAATGCTGGCTACACTGACATATGCGACGTATTCGTAATAACATCTTGGAGATTAGAATTGCAGGCTCCTCTTGTCAGCCGCAAATATATAAACTGAACTGGAAAATTGCTTTAAACCCGAGTCATTTGCCTCATAAGCTACATCGATATCCACTACACCATCGAGTATTAGCTGCCAAATCCAGTAATTTTTAAAATATACGTGTACACCTATGTCGTATCCCATTACAATTATATTCATTTTAGTGCTTAACCCTTATCATTGCAGATCAGTGAGTTACTCTCTAGTGTGTTCTCTCCGTCTGACTAGGGCTGTGCAGTTTTGATTTTTCAGCAGTTCTGTAAGGTTAGTGGAGTCCTGTTCCAGTATCGTTACGTTAAGAGAATAATGCGTTGTGTAAACCTCATAAGGTGTCCTACCGTGCGAGCGAGCTCGCCAGAGCGCCTTGGAGAGCTTGTTCGCAGGCTAACGGTGTCCAATCTGCCTTCACCCGATGGTCTCTAATGCTAACTAATTGCCTAGGGCCCCCCTTTCCCCAAAAATTCCCGTTTAACTATTCGGGCCAGACGCCCTTTTAAGTGAAAATCTAAGGCAATAGTGTGGATTGTAGCGCACAAAGCCAACCATGGGTAGGTTTATTGCATTGACTTTTAAAACTCTTAAAACTTGGGCCTCAAATGCAAATATTACAAACATGAAAAGCTTTCCTGCAGACCCGATTTTGCGTTTGAAATACTGGTGCTAGGTAACTGGATAAGCTGAGCATGGATTGAACCTTTGAGACTGGATCCGTTCCCGAAAGCGGTTAAGATATTAAAGAACAGAAATAAATGGATAAACTGAAAGAATAGAATACGTTACTTTATTCGTGGATTTTTGTTGCTAACACGGGTTGGTTAATTATTCCAAACAGTAAGACTATCAATATAAATGTATGCTAGAAATTACCACAGCTAGAAATTATAAAGATTATAGAAATGGAGTCTAAAAGATCTTTTGGAGCCACTCACTAAACTCTGGGTGAAAAAATCGCCTGCAGTGTAGGTCGTGATCGTGGTAAAAGTATCGATGTTATCGAGTATTTGTTATCAGTATCGACCCCTGCTACTTTTCTATCTAGTTATATTTGTCATGAAATATGTTTCCGTTTAAAGTATCATTTGTAAATTACAACAGCTGCCATTTCAGGTCCTTTGATGAGTTTATTTCCATTTTTATCCACAACTATAAACTCTCCGAAAAAATCCAAAACGTCACGCATCAATTCCTGATCGGCGGTAGACCGGAAGTCTTTCTGATGCGTCAGGAAATCGAACAATCGGTCGCCTTGTTCCGAAGGCTCACCGAAGCACAAGCTCACATCCACGGAGAACTCCTGCCTGATGACCTCATACTTCCAGCCGTTCTCTTCAGCTATTTTCGAGAGATCCTTATCGGTGTAGACAACCATATCTGAGCCAAACGTTAATCTCCCTCTAAATCTCCTCTGTATCTTCGCAAAGAATGATCTCTCGGTTTGCACAAGACATAAAATGGCCCCCTCAGCTCCCAGTTGTTGTTCAAAGCACGTGCGTAGGGTATCAGCCGCATCCATGTAATAAATACTATGGATAAAATGGATTAAATCAAAGCTGGGTGATTTTTTGTCTTGAACAGCGCACTTTTGCTTGTACTCTTGAAAGGTGAGTTGTTGCCATTCAAACGATACTTGAGCTAAATCTGTGAGCGTGTCTGGTAGGGATGCAGCGGATGTTTTGAATTTCTCCAGCAGAAAGGAGCTCGGCTCAACCACCAAGCTGTGGATAGCAGGCTTTGTACCACAGCCACTTGCCTTTAACTGACTGGCGATGAACTGGATAATGAATAGGTCCATTTCACCTTTTCCACTTCCAACCCCCAGAATGTTGAAAGGTTCGTTTTTATCCAGCGGACTGATTTTCTCCAGTGCCAGCTTTATCCCGCCTTGCACGCACTTCACTATTGCTTGCCTGGCTGTAGAGTGATCTAGAAAGGTCTTGAAAGATTTTTCATAAGCTTCGTATAACTGAGAAAGAGATATCTTTCGCACAGACATCTTGAAAGTTGAAAAATTGCAAGGACAAATCTCTAAGAGTGCACAGGTCACTGGCTGCGCACACAAACTTTTAATGTCATACTGATTTAAGGCTATAAATGACATTCGTGTAATGCGCGCACGCTTTTGTGGAATGTATCGCTCATGTACCAAGAGCCCCTTCACTTCTTCATCTAGTCGGGACTAGACTAAGTAATCCAATTATTCTGTGGTCTCTGCTGTAGTATTTTAAATACTTTTTAGTCTGGTTTAATTGGTTTATAGTGTTTACACGGCTTAAACTTACCGAGAGCATAGCATGAAAGAGTGCTTTTTTATGCAAGGCGACTGCGAGGAATGTTGCCAAGTCACGATGTCAAGCGTTTAGTTGACAAGTTTAAATGAATTTGCAAATTCCGGTGGCTTGTGTGGTAGGCCTTTGTACATTATGCTTTTGTTTCCCCACTAAAATGCTCCATCTTAATGCTCCAATTTCCCACTAAAATGCTCGGTAGTCCCTAAAAAATTCACTAAAATACTCAATAATGCTCATCATAGAGAGGCGTTCTTTATTAATTCTGAACACTTTAAGGGGGTTTAAGGCTAACAAAAATGTTTGAAGGGTATGACAACAATGTAGACAAATAAATAGTTTCAATACAGCAAGAAAGATCATCAACATGGCTGTATTAAGGTGAAATTTGAATATAGTTTTTTTGAATTATTTTTAAAGTCGTCATGTCTCTTCAAAAATGTTTCAATTTTTATTTTCTGTCAGAAAAGAACCTAATTTTCCGAAAAAATGCCACTAAAATGCTGGAATAATGCTCAATGCCTTTGCCCCACTAAAATGCTCGAAAAAAGGTTAGCATAATGTACAAAGGCCTATTGTGTGGCTTAAAACAGATGACGTTGAGAGACTGATTAAAATAAAAGACTCCCGGTGATGACATGAAAAAAGATCACCGGAAGTCTTTTCGCTTCTCACATGAATGACACGCTCATCGCCTCAGAAATCGCTTCAATTAGATCATCTAATAAAAATTTAATTTTCAAGCTTGAAATTTTTCAAGTTCAGGGCATTCTTGTCGCATACTTTATCCTTCTATGTCCCATTTTTTTGCTGTACATCCTTCTTTAATAGAAAATAAATATCGATTAAAGTAAACTTCATTTTTCCCCAAGAAATGTTAGTATTTTGAGGGGAGGGGAAAACCGTAGTACGAGGACAGAAAAACCTCTCGCAGCAAGGAAGAGAACAACAACCACAACAAACTCAACTCCCCCTGCTAAATTCACATTTGCATGGTTCCCTCTTTGGGATTGGAACCCGGGCCACATTGGTGGTAGGCGAGTCCGGGGGGGACTCTCCTAAATGGGCTAGGCTGGGCAAGGGTATGGATTTTGAGGCGTTTTGGTAGTTAAAAAGGATATAGATTTTGCCCATTATTTATGGTCTGACATCGTGTATGTTTTCTAAGGGTATAACCTTTATTTGAAGAGGGCGACACCTATTACTATGAAAGCCGGTATTCTCCCTAGTGGCCCTCTAAAAACAAAAATGTTGATAAAAAGTCGATGTACAAACAGTGATTACAATAAAAGATCTTAACAATTCTTAAAAATTTTACAATTGAAAAATTTAGAAATTTTTCAAACAAATGTGACTAAATTAGTAAAAAAGAGAATCTATTTACAATGATATTAAAAAACTAAAATTCAACCTCGTCCCCAGGGCTTCTCCCAGTGAGGAAAAAGCCCTGGGGACGATCGAGGTTGACTAAAATTTACCGTAACCGACTGGGGAGGAACTGGCATCTATAGCATCGTCCCTAACAGAGAAGTGAAAAGAAGTTCAAGAACTTTCTTTCAGGGTCTATAGATGAAATCTTGTGGTACTTCTGAGTAGTACTCTCCTGTAGTACTGTTATGGTTTGTAAGGTGGTGCTTGTAAGGTGTTGCTTACTGTTGAGTCTTGGGTTTAATTATGCTTCTAATTCAAATGAACCTTTCATGTGTTCATGTGTTGTTTATTTTGCTGTACAAGGTGGTTCCAACTTTTGAGTCTGGATGAAATCCTGCGATTTAACCATTCAAATGAATCCTCTTCAGCAATACTGGCTCATAACAAACAAAATCAACGACATTCCCTATGTTAGTAAAATGATGCCCAAGTGTTCATGGCCATCAAAGTATTAAGTGCAACGTGTTGTGTGAATTATAATCTTCCTTACCTTTCCCCAGCGGGTAGCCACAGTCTCTTTTTGCTTGTGTACAGCCACCCCTCCCATATTGCTTTGTTAGCCTGAGGACACA